CCCCCTCCCTCCCGGACATCCCCTATCTTTCCCGCCAGTCTCCATCCCAACCTCCCATCTTTCCCGACCCTACCCGCCGGTCTCCATCCCTCACTCCCTGAGCCTCCTTCCTTCCACTGCATACCTACCCTCTCTCCCTCCCCGAACCTCCTCCCGAAGCTCCCGCCGTGGAAGAAAGGACAAACCTGGACGAGAGAGAGAGAGAGAGAGAGAGAGAGAGAGAGAGAGAGAGAGAGAGAGAGAGAGACCTGCTTCTTGGACGTCGGCGGCGGCTGGCTGGTACGTCGGTGAGGGCTGGACGTTGGGGGCTGCTGGCTGCTTCTTGGATGTTGGTGGCGGCTGGCTGTTTCATCGGCGATGGCGGCTTCCTCGTGGATGGCTGCGGGTCTGCAGGGGGGACGTGACGGGCAGCAGCTGGTGGCTTCCGAACAGCGCGCCCGCGAGATTAGAAAACGGCCAGTTTGAAAGTGCTGGCCCTGCCTCCCGCCACCCCACCTGAGTCTGCACAGACTGTGGTGGGTCCGGGCTTCAACCGATGTCCGGTAGGGTGAAAAGTTGAAAATACACACAAAAATCGGTCCAGTATTTTTCTGGGGCCGCCGAGGACCTGAAAAATGTCCTTGGCGGCCCCTTTTTTTTTCTGATTTTTCGTGGGGGGGGCCGGTTCCGGACGTCCAGGACCGGACACCGGACCCCTACATAATGCTTGGGGGTGTCTGGAAACCGGTCCGGACGTCCGGTCGGTTAAAATGGTTCTTGCTATGTCGGCTGGGGAATGGGTGCACGGGAAGATCCTTGTCTGAAGCATGTGTGATATCTGTGATGGTAATGACGATGACAATGATGATGGTGAAGAAGAGGATAATGATAATGATAATGATAATGATATTGATGATGAGGAGGAGGAGAAGGACAAGGAGGAGGAGAAGGAGGAGGAGGAGAAGGAGGAGGAGGAGAAGGAGGAGGAGGATAATGACAGCAAAATTGACCCAGAATTAATTCCCCGATGGGTAACTTCTTAAACTTATGCAATATTGTGAAAGGTGGGTACTATTTTTGGCCGATCCCCTTTCACACTTTGAGTGATGTTTTTTTTTTTTTTTTTTACTTGAGAAGTTTGAGTGATGTCTTCACGCTGGGGCTAGGCTGAAAATTTTCTGAACCTTTTCTCTGTATCTTCCAAAATACAGAGAACGACGAATTTCTCTGCATTTCTTGAGGAGAATATTAAAATAATGAACTTCTCTGAATTTCTTGAGAAAAGTAATGAATGCCTTATACGATCAAAGATGGTTCTTTTGCATGCTTTTCCTTGTCTCATTCTGCGTATGAGCAAACAATTGGCTTGTTGTAGAAGCTGAAATATTTAATGAAACCCGACGTCTTGATCGATTCAGAAGGAAAAAAAAGGCTGTTATAATCAGTGTTATGAGGTTATCATAATAAATTTAAATAAATTTAATAGTCAAATTATTGAAATTAACTTGAGCAAGTTCTGTTGGTGGTGGAATGATTCCAGGTATGTAGACAAGGGTCTTCGCCTGGGAATGCTCTCAGGAAATCAGTTTGTGATCACTCTCAGGTAACCATCTCAAACCTGAGTCCATTTGCCAGTTGTTTTTTTTTTTTTTTTTTTTTTTTTCCAGAAAACAGGTCCTTAATAGGCCTGGCTCTCTATCCATTCTGGGGAGGGTTAGTCCAGTTCTTTTTCCACTGGCAAGTCATGAATCCTGTCTGGCCGAAGGACCCGCGATCAGCATTGATTGCCGCTAATAGGTGGATTGACTGTCAGCTTGCCATTCCTCTTCTTCTTTCTTTCTTTCTTTTCTTTTCTTTTCTTTTCTTTTCTTTCTTTTCTTTTTAAACAAAATAAAAATAAAAATAAAACATCCTGTGACGTCCTACGGTCCTGGGATGTTAAGAGCACCCACCACCAGGATCGAGGAGCTTTTGCGGATGGCTCCGTTCCATAGTTGCGGCGCACCTCGGTGCGCGGATTTGCGCACGATTTGCGCACTGCGCGCAGCGCACCCAAGCACACCACACTGTAAAAATTAGGTCCAAAAAAAAGAAAAGAAAAGTAGGGGTTTTGTCATTCCTTAGGGCCCCAACTCGGCAAAAATGTTAAACGCACCGCGCGAGCTCGCAAACCGGCCGCGCCCCCGGCCCAAACTTTTTTTTGGGCAAGGGCTGCCGAATTTCAATAGCCGCAGGCCCTACCCCCAGAAGTTTCAAAAAGGCAAAGCATAAAATAGGGCTCATTCCAACTTTGCTCTTAGGCGGGGTATGGAAACTGGCCTTCCCGCTCCCTTTTGCAAATCCCACGCAGTGGTGGGGTAAGTTCGCAAGAAGGGTGTAGTCGCCTAGTAACGACCTGCCCCATGAACTTTGCAGAAGTCACAGGTTGCATTTTCATGTCTGGCCGACCACCAGTATATTCTGAAGGTTGGCGTTCAGGTCTGCATGTTGGCAGTTATGGGTTAGGATGAAGATGCCCGTAGCTCTCTCGGTTTTTGTTTTTGTTTTCTTAGGAATACGTACAGTGGGGCCTGCCCCACTACTCACCACATGCACAAAAGAAATAGCGTATGGCTGTGTATGGTCCCATGTTTTAGCAGAAGATTCATTCTAATATTATTATTGTATGCATTTGGTGAGTGGTGGAGGGAGCTTTCTTTTTTTTGTTTTTGTTTTCTTACGAATACGTACAGTGGGGCCTGCTCCACTACTCACCACATGCACAAAAGACATAGCATATGGTGGTGTATGGTTCCATGTTTTAGCAGAAGATTCATTCTACTAATATTGTATACATTTGGTGAGTGGTGGAGGGAGGCCCTGAGAATCACGTGGAGATACGAACAGGCTCTAGCTGAATTGGTGACCCATAACTGCCGAGCTACAGCCTTGAACTCGAATCCAAAGCATACATTGGTGGTCTACACTACCTCTTCCACAGACAACGAGACCATCCTCCTAATTAAAGCAGTCGTCCTCGATGACTCCACATGTAACGTAGGAGTCATTCGAGGTACCTGCAGGGGCCCTCGAATTGACGTGAAGGTGACCCTTAGTT